ATTGAAGGATGATGGATTATTTTTTTGTAAATTGTAATAAATGAATGAGTCGTGAATCTGATTAGCTAAGTATAAGACAGTGTCGAGTATCCTCAACCCATTCTTCATTTTAGGCCTTGTGCCACAATTGTTGTATTTCATACGTTTATATTTTTTATATATTTATAAAAATTGAGGACAACTTTTACCAAAAATTCCATAAAAACAAACAAAAATATACGGGATATAGAAAAACTTGTGCATATTAACATTAATGTGAGGACATTAAACTATGCAAAAACTATAGTTTATTGTTTAGCAATTACACAACTTTTAACTTTCAATATGTAATGGAAACCTGCGTAAATGTACAAGAGCATCATGAAACAGCTGAGATATGGATAAATGAAAAGAAAACAAAAACCGGACAAACTAATGGAAAACTACTGATAAAAATGAAACGCCGTCAGCTGACTCTTGCTTCAAAAGCAAACGACTCCACTATTAATCCCAAGATATATCATGGCAATTAACAAACAAATTATAAAACCTAACGGCGTGAATTTATAGGGTAAATCTATGGGAATTAACTCTCTCTTGTCTCGTTCGGTAAGGTTCGACATGTACAACATGTGTTACTTGAACTTCATTCAATGACTGCTAGCATAAACAGCGAATACGAGATAAAGTTCCTCGGAACAGATCCCTTGCCTGGAAAGGAGTGATATGAACGGCCGGAAAGGAGTGACCTGGCCGTTATCCAACGACTGTTCGCAACAAACATAAAATAACACACATGGAACGTTAAGCAACTGTTGACAGTTGGAAAATGTAAAACGGGTTATGAGTATGTTAAATGTCAACATTTTAGTGGTATGTGAAAATCCCTGGCCACACTATGGAGATTTCGTCAGTGAAAATCAGAGCATTATATATGAAAGTGGAGAGAAGAAACGAAGAAGAAATTGACTGATACTAGACCAAAACATCAAGAAATGAGTCCTAAGATAGTGTTAATTATCTGAAACAATTCTTTGAGTTAAACAGAAATTAAAGTCTTTCAACATAGTTATTATAATAGTATATGCACCAATCGAATCTGTCTGTTTTATGCTAGACAACACCAAGTCTCAGTGTAAATCACAAGAAGTTATAATTATCATGTGACACTTGAAACAAAGTAGACAGGGAGAAGGTATGGGAGATAGCTGGCAAATTCAACCTGGGAACGCGCAACCAACGCGGGTTTCACAGCCAATGATCAGGTAATAGGCAAAACCTGGCTCCAAGACGATTATGAATATAGAGAAGCCCAGTAGGGGAAACTAAAAACTAAATTCACTAATAACTATCAACAAAAGATTCAGAAATGCAGTTGTTCACTGCAAAACCTATCCAAGTCTCGACTACGGAAGCGATCATCGCCCTGTTGTATATAAACTAAGATTAAGACAAAGGAAACTGAAGAAGCTTATGGCGTGACATACTTAATGGGCTTGAGCAAATGGCTGAAAGAACAGGATCAGGGAGAAATAACAAAAAGATAAAACTAATCAAGACCTACAAAGGACAGGAGGAGGTAGTGGGTCATGATCACCTACGTGAAAGAAAGATAGAGACCCAGAAGTACACAGACATGCTTGATTTCTAAAAAGGGACCCACTTGAATCTATCTATAACAATAAATTGTGCATATTAAAAATAACAGTCTTTCCTATAGAATACAAAAATCTGAAAGTTATTGCGATTAAAAAAAAGAAACTGATCACTCAATCCTAGAATGAATATCAAATTTGTCTTTGTGAATATAGAGAATATGTCGCCGTTTTACGAAGCTGACAGTCTGAATCATCGTTGTTAAAACAAGAAAAATACTGACGAAAACTTCTGCAAAGAAACTGAATGAATAGGAAAGACGAAAAGCTGAAGAATTTAGACGGCAGCATCAAAAATTATTTAAGTATATAGAAGAAATGTCTGAATATTCCGTCGATTTTCTGATACTTGGCCCTAAGCTTGAGCTACTAGTTACAAGGTTTGTGAAAAGATTATGACTATTTTAGATGATGCATAGTAATCTGTAATATGTGCAAAACATTAAACGAAAAATGAGATTTGTATAATTGTCATGAAGAAATTAAATGTTTTGAAAATTGCATGTCATATGAGAGCGAAAATCCAAAGTAATAAGTGTAAAAATAGAGTACATAAAAAACAAAAGCGCACAATTCATTACCATTTGAGGGATATTAAATGTTTAGGTAGCAGCTGAATTGAGTGTTCATTAATAGCATTTAAGATTATTAGACTATGAGGGATGGTTAAATGAGGCGAAATAGAATAAGTACAATGTTACTTTGCTATTCCCTTTTTGAAGAGCCATGATCGTCCTGAAGCGAAATAATACATAGAAGAATCGCTTCAAGAAGAATGAAGTGACTCATTAACTCCAGAATGATTTTTAGTATCCATCAGTTTTAATGTTCTTCAATTTTTTATTTCGCTTTTACGAAGAGATTAACTTTTCATAGCCATAGCTGGAACACTAATTTCAATATTTGTTCTCGTTACGAAAATCTTGTACTGGTTTAAAATCAAATGTTTCAATATATTATAATATACATATTAACATATAAGCAAGCATATACATAAATGAAACATAAATTCAATACATATATCTATATATTGTGTCACACATTGAGTGCTTGTCGTAATAAAAAGAAGTTCGATAGCAAAGCTAAAATTTATATTTGTGATAGCCAATAAGAATCAAAATGTATATTTATTATTATTGTGAGCAATATATATATATATATATATATATATATATATATATATATATATATATATATATATATAGAGAGAGAGAGAGAGAGAGAGAGAGAGAGATGAAACCGATTGCTGGTCAGAGTTGATTCCTCCAAGGGTATGTTTGCATTAAAATGAGCAGAAGTTTAAAAGTAAATATAAAAAAGTTATGGATAACTTGCACACACGCTACCATAGTTTCAACTATTAAGGTCTCATCCGGCGGTAGATGGTATGTATATAGTGTTGACATGGGGATCGCAAGTTCATAAGTTTTACGCCTAAATACGATTTTGATTTCAGTCTACGTATTCTATTCTTACCATATATATATATATATATATATATATATATATATATATATATATATATATATAAATTTAAATTTAATGAAGAACAGACACTTTAAGGTACCATTACAATAATTTATTTCACCAAAATCCTTTTTAAAGGATTTCGGATCATCAGGTAACACTTCCAACAATGAAATGAGAGGAAAAATGTGATTAGAAATTGATGGGTAGTGTAATTTTTGTAATTAAACAGGGAGGGTGAAGGTGGCAGTTAAAGAGACAATACAAAATATAGTGAGGGTTAAATTTACATCTCTCTTAAATAAGCCTTAAATTGGGGTAGGAGGAGTGACCTAACCATGACCTATTTATGTGGTAAAAGAAAAAGGAAGTGATATATAGGAATAGTGAGGAAAGAAAATAAAGTAAAGGGAAAGAGAAAGAAGAAGTGGAAAAAAAAGCAGACGTATGCAAAAGAGTTTTATTGCAAAGAGCGAGGGGGAGAGGGAAGTGAATCGAAAGAGATAAAAAGGGGAAAAAGGCCCAGACGTATTAAAAAAAAAAGGTTTTATGGCAAAGAGAGAGGGGGAGAGGAAAGTGAATCGAAAGAGAGAAAAAGGGAAAAAAAAGACAGACATATTCAAAAGATTTTTATGGTAAAGAGGGAGGGGGAGACGGAAGTGAATCGAAAGAAGCTGTAATTTTAATTTAACAAAATTATGTAAAAGATAGATTGCAATGTTTGATAGAAAATTAGATGTCTCAAAAATTGGAAGATATTAGATTCAGTATTTAATTTTTTAATTAACTAGTTTAGGGATTTAGTACAAGTTAACTACTATTGTAATAAATATATTTATTTATCGAGAACATATTAAAGAAATATTTAAAATTGCAATAGTACATTTACCCGAAACATTGTGATTCACAATATAGGAAGAAAACTACGGTAACAATGAATTCATCTATCTATAATATATTAATATCTAAAATAATTTGTGAATGCAATTTTTATTTATTGTTATATTGGTAAGTTTAATTAAGGTTTAGGTTTCATTATTTAATGGTATTAGAGGGTAATATTAAAGATTTTGTTTTTTCTTATATATCTCTCACAAATCTATTTCTATAAATTTATACATACCTACTCACATTAATAAGTACAAATACACACATAGACACACATGTAACAATATACACAAAATATCATTCATCTTCATACATAAATTATATATACATTTCATAATCATAATCTATATTTAAATATTTTAAATTTATTTAGATTTAATTTTGATTCCATAGTTAACGTTTAAATTCAGGTAATTTTTGAAGTGTTACATATTATTAAAGGACATTTGCTAATATTGTTATTACTAGTTAAATAATGGTAAATTTAAATTTAAATTATCATTTTTAAAAAGAAAACCCCTTCAGAAGATAAAAATATATTCAACAAACCTAATTATAGAGCATTACAAGATAAGGTGATATTAAGTATTAAGAATATTAAATTTAAACGCCATTATAATGATCTCATTACTTCTATTCAAAATCTAATCATGCAAAAAAAAACCTATATATATATATATATATATAAATAAATACATGTACACATATATATCCCCACATACACATACAATAAACATATATATCCACATACATGTACAAATATATATCTATACATGTAAATCCACACACATGTAGAATTCACACACTTATATATACATACATATACATTTAAAATATTTAAATATTCGACGAATAACAATTTTAATAATTTTCTCTTGTGATAATAATAATAATAATAATAATAATAATAATAATAATAATAATAATAATAATGCATGGCATGATTGTAAACCTCGAAGGAACTAAACGGCAAATTAGATTTGTATCACGGACGAGATTAAAGATGTGAAGATGATTAGGACATTATGGTGGGGGGGCTGCCGGCATCGTTGGTTTGAGACATGTCAAAAACCAACGGCCGTTTAAGATCAATGAATAGTGGATCGATCACTTCTTGCCGTTTCTTATCTATTATTGACGACATGCGATAATCTTTGAAATGGGCGGTTGTAAATATTTACTAATCAGTTAGAAATGGCTGTAATCAAAGCGACGAAAATCAGCGCGAAAATGATCAAAGATAAATGGCGTCTGTCCGAGTCGAAAGGGCAAATCAAAGCATTTTGATTGTGCTATCATAAAAAAAATTAATAGGTTTTTCCCTCTTCGTCTTTTCTTAACCATTGATTTACTCAAAAGCCTTCCCTCTCTCTCTCTCTCTCTCTCTCTCTCTCTCTCTCTCTCTGTGTTATCAGTTTCATATTCTTCTAACATATCTATATGTTCGTTATTCTTCAAACGCTCTATCTCTCATTTTCTATATATGTATGAAACTGTATTTTTGTTTTCTTGTTTATTACTGCCCATATCAATAGGTCAATGTCTTTATTTCTATCTCTGATATTTATCAGTATTTCTATCTATTTCATTAATGGAACATTTTTCGAGTTTTGTTTTATGAAAAATGCTTCTTTTAATTTTCTTTTCGGATATGTTATTCATAATTTCTTTTATTAAATTCTATCCGAATTAAACTTCTAACATTTTCTTTTCACCGCTTTACGTATTATAACATATTTCTGTTTGTCATTTTGTATATCTTTAACCATTTTTCTATCATTATTTTCTGTTACTTCTCCTTTGATGCGGCATTTATTTTCTAGACCTTGGCGATCATGTCTTCCACATATTTAATTTGAGAACCTTCAACTCCGTAGCTTTAAGTCAATTCTTTATCCGTTGATTATTCTGTATTCACTATCTTCTAGGAGGATATTCATCATCTATGTGCTGTTTCCGTTTGTGATGTGGGAGATCAAGGCTCTCCACAACTTCATATCATTTGTAATCTTTAGAAAAGTTTGGCTTCTAATCTTTGTTCTACACACAATTTACACAATTTTATTAGGTATGTTATGCGCTGTTTTCCTCTGACCAACTGGCATTCATTATGTCTTATGAGTGTCAACATTTCCAAGCCCTCTTTCCTCAATATGTGCCTTAGAATTTTCAACCGTCTCTTTCTGATGCTACGTGTAAATGCCCCTTTTGTTTCCATCTTTTATCTAAATTTTTGTCATTGTTCACGTGATCAGTCCATGGCATTCTCAGCAGACTCAGTATTATTGCGTAGCAGTTCAGTACACTTTTTTTTGTTTCTAGTGAAATTCTTCCATCTCGTCATACTTAATTTACTTTCTCGAATACATCATCCGCTCTTTAACTGTGTCTTCCGATTTTGTATTACATTTTCTGTCGATTGTTACTACATTGTCCTAAAATAGACAGTTCTCTACCGGACTTATTTTGATGTCACATTATGTAGTTTACATTTTGGGCTGTCTTTTTTGCTAACAACCAAAGTCAACGTTCTCATTACTTCTCCCCACTACTTCAGATTCTCTTGGCACAACTAAATACATTTTACTCAGCATTGCCTATTATGTTTAATATATAAACACACAGCCTTACAAACGCACGCACAGATACACATTATTTTTATCTATGTACATATCCTCAGCACTCATTCGGCGTCATTAACCATTAGCATTTCTCCCTACTCTCTTTCTCTCTCTCTATGTCACTCTCTCTATGTCACTCTCTCTCTATGTCTCTCTCTCTCTCTATGTCTCTCTCTCTCTCTCTCTCTTTATTTTACCGATTTTAGTACGCTGCTATGTTTTGAGTAGTGAGTTCGATCCTCACTGGGTGCCCCCTAATTTCGGCCTTGTGCCACATCTAAGCTACACTTGGAAAATCACTATATATATATATATATATATATATATATATATTCGCATTTGATTTACCGATAATTTCCATAGGTTAAAATGTTGTCGAGTTGGGAGTTACAGAGTTCGGTTTAGTGTATCCAACCGGCGCCCACTTTTGGCACATTTTCTTTTTTTCTCAACGCCCCACTGCCTGCGTCAAATTAAATTTCTAATATTATACTGAATACATCTTTCATAGGCATTAGTGTAAATATAATTTGAATATTGTTTTCATTTCTATTATAAATGCAAATGATTATAATGCTAAAAAAAACTTAGCCTATCTTAATGTTTTCATTGCGATGGTTGACCTTGGGCTTACTCGATAAGGCTTTAATCTAAGTTCCATGCCGCTTAGATGTAATCGTTGATCTCCTACTTTTGTAATTTGCAGGCGGTTTAGTAAGAAGCGCTGTAAAAGCGTTGAAACCGTATTCAGCCATATAGAAAGTTGGAAAGCAATATAAGTAAGGTTTAATAGCTTCTCACAGCTTTAGATACTTTTAAGAAATGTCCTTTTATAAGCAATATTAAATACTGTTTTTGTTTTAAATTTGAAAAACAAAAATGAATAGTGGACACCGCCGACTTGGGTTTGTATCCTCCCCCATAAATGCAATAAAAACTGCCAGTGCCCACTTTCAATATAACAGAGCGCCCCCGTTAGGAAGTTCTTGGTTAACCTCATAAATTCACGAAAATATATGGGATACGCGAACCTAAATAAAATACAGTGCAGAATAGCTGACATCAAATGGCTGGTTTCTCCAGAGACCAGTTGTTATATTTTTTATATTTTATATTATATATTTCCCTTTAAGATGTAAGCAAGCATGCAATAAAAATAATTCGAAAAGAATTTGATTTCTGCTTCCCTGGAAGTAATTCGCAATTATTTCAGATTATTATCCACTGTTTACATTTTTTGTAAGAAATCTAATCGTAAGTCTTATAAATAGAGATGATGTTTCCTTTATATAATTATGCAATTAAGATAGGGATTTAATGACCACAGTACGATTGGTGGGGGTTCTAGTCGGTCGAAAAGAAAGAAAACAAAAAGGAAGATAAATTTTTTTTTCTTTGAGCGATAATTGCAAACTGAGGCCGGTCTAGCCACACCCACACTGCCGAGCGTTCATTGGCTGAATGGTGGCGTGAGCGATGGGCGAAGATAAACATATGAGAAAGAAGGGAAAACTGTTGACGCCTCTGAGGGTATTGGTGTGAGATACCAATATGAGAAAGAAGGAAAGCCTGTTGACGCCCTTTGAGTGGATTGGTGTGAGATACCAATATGAGAAAGGACAATTCCCTTAAGAACACCTCTAAAACTGAAAGTAAATGACTTCCAAAAATGGGAAGTGATAAATTTTCCTGTCCGAAAACAAAGAAAATCCTTATTGCGGATTTGGAATTATCGAGGAACCCAAACCACGACAGGCCCCCACCCGGTTTTGGTCGGCGTCCATATAAACGAACGTCCCCAGAGCAAAGTCACGCAGTCAGAGTTGGACAGTCAGTTGGGGCAGACACAGTCGGACAGTTGGGGCAGACAAAACACAGTTGGTGACAGTTGGAGTCACAGAGTTGAGCTGTGAGCTCGGAGACCAGCCTCGCAGGAACTGACTGAAAGATTTCCACGCATCCCGACTTAGAATTCTAAGCAAAAACAATTTTTTTTGAAGAACGACTCACACCACCAAAACAAGTTTTATGAATATCGCCTGAAGATACCAAAAACCAGTTTATTAAAAAACAACTTGAGACATAAAGACTCGCCTAAGAAACGCAAAGTGTCACGTATCCATAGAAGCGGTCTGGGAGAAAGACGCAGTCCTGTATTCAGCAACCAGATATAAAGATTCTTGTTATTCTTTTTTTTAACACATTTGAATCTTTCGAGTTGATACTTTATCTTCTTTTACATATACTTGTGCGGTATCACCTTTGCCACAAATTCAGCTTGCACTACGGCCCGACGCCTGATTGATTTCGTCTACCTAAGATCAAATCAAAACGTGGGTAGGTTAGATTAGAAGTCAAAGCAGTTACTTCATTAACCAGACGTTGGAGGCGAGCTGGAAACGACAAAGCTGATGCCGAATCTAACCAGATTTCCATCCGAATCAGCCAATGGTTAGATCGTCACAGGATAGCACAGGAGAGACCGGGGTGACGTCACAGCTATATATATATATATATATATATATATATATATATATATATATATATATATATATTATTATTATTATTATTACGGACCAAAAATTAATACAGAATAAAATCCCAAATCACCTCATATGGGTAATAATTTTATTTCGACCGACGAAAATACAATTCTTCGGACTTATTCAATCCCGGTATCAAAGGCTGTCCAATTCCGTATTTATTTTTGTTTACATTTTATGATTTCTAATAACTGTTTTCTTTTTAATTTTTTTAATTGTTCGTTCATAATTTAAACATTGCAGTTTTGAATTTTATTTTTATTGTATGAGAAATTATATTTTGCTTTAATTAGAATATTATATATTCTATGTTTAATGAAATCGTATATACTTATGGAAAATTCCTTTTCCCTAAAAGTCAATTTAAAATTTCACCTCTAATTTATGTATGCATATATATATATATATATATATATATATATATATATATATATATATATATATATATATATATATATATATATATATATATAAAGTTCATTGTTGGTCAGAAAATATACGATTTATTTTGGATTAATTCTTTTATTCGTGTTTGAAATCATAAAGCATTTACACATGTTTATGTGATCAGGTAAGGATAGCAGAATGTATAATTTTCCAGAATGAAAATGAGGTTAGTAATTCTTCCAAACTGATTTCTTAATCTTCACTCCCTATAGTCCTTTAATGTTCGATTGGATATCTAATACGTTTGATAATATGCTCTCTAATAATCTCTCAGCTCGCTTTCATATTTGTGGTGAGACCAATATTCGTTACAAAGTGTGATTTGACTACTCGAATACAACTGAGGAAGAATGCAGATACTGTTAAGATTTCTCGGGAGGTTACAAACCGAGAGGAATCATTGAACCCAACTGAATTACTGATGCAACAGTAAATTAGTCAAACCTGTTTGTCATCTTCAACACATCCTGCTCTGAAAATAACCATACCGATGCTAAACCTGAGGCATTGTTCTCTTCTGTAGAACGATTTTTGGATATATGAAAGCCGCCTGAGACACTTTCAGATGTTACGTACGCTCCTCTTTCCGCTTCCTTCAAACATAATGCCTTCAGAAAAGACCACCAATGTATCGGAATGGATAATTTCTGGAATGGATTTTAATTCCAAGAAAATCCGAACAACCAACCATGGTTCACCTTTGAATATAATATAGCCATAGCTTATCGTAACAATTATTACTACATTATATGTGTGAGGGAACTGCGTAGTATGGCATTTGCATTATTTACTATTGCCTGCAATCATGGCAAGAGCGTTCTAGAAAATGCAAAATGTAACCATGCACAAGTAGTCCAGGCCAAAATCGCAAACAAACAACCTGATACCCGGGGGTTTTGGAAAAATCTTCAACCAAATTCTCAACAGAGGTTAAGTTTCTGTGTCTGGTATCATGTTGTCACCTCATCCTCGTCAGACAAGGCAAACTCTTTGCTTCGTTTTTTTGCCTCTAAGTCCACGATAGATGAAAAAGGTCATCCTATTACCAAATCCCCCTGTCCGACATCGCACAATCTCAGTAACTTATTATAACAGCCAGAGAATTTTGAAGAAAGTGTTTCCCTTAAGATGGACACTGGTCCAAATAAAATTCTTATGGTTGTTCTAATAAGTATTCTTAGCTTAATAAGAACTTAATAAAATATTTAAAGGCTACTTGAAGGATAAATAATTCCCAAGTCTGCGGAATGTGTCAAGCGTATGCTCTGTTTTTTTAAGAATGTGGTATAGACACATCAGCCTCCCCAGAGTCAGTAGGTAAGTTTTTGAAGTTAGAATGAATACGAAGCGTGTTCATCACTTCAATAGTGACATATGAACTACAAACAGTCCTTTGCCGATACCTTCTCATTACTGACAGAATCATTGATGCACTAGACAATAAATACATAGCTAGGACAATCACATATTTCAAAGAACTTTGTCATAGTGTAGCATAGAGAGTTGCTGCACAAAATCTCAAGCTATAGAATACCTGGAAGAATATTATAAATTATAAAGTCCATTCTAATGGGTAGGTCCATGAATGTAGTTCATAATGGTCAGACCTGCGAGGTTTAAGTGGTCAACGCTGGTGATCCCCGAGGTTTGCTAATCGGCCCGAACATTTCTACTTTACATAAATGATTTGAGTTATCTTGTTTCTTGATCTGAGTAAGAGTTATCTTGTTTCTTGATCTGAGTAAGAATATACTGTTATCGTGTGAATATCTATACTGATAATACAACGGTGCATGGGAGCATTTCCAAAATACTAGGGGACAAGAGCTTAACAGCTGATCTCTTCTCTGACATAGCTTTAACAATTCAGTGAAGAAAAATGGCTGGTTCCGTTCAATTTCTTCCAGAAACATCATTACCGAGCGGACACAAAAGTGTCGCTTATCATGATGAATGGATGTTCACTAAGAGATCTCCCGCGCCTATTGAAACTTAAGATGAATCCAAACCTCAAGTGGAATTCGTACATAAAATCTATCGTTATAGATACTGAGAAAATCATCTATCATGTAGAAATGCTATCATATATTTTCCATCATACAACCCCATGCTCACACGAAATGTGGCAAATCTATCTCTACTCTATACCTATTAGCATGGAAAGTGTTCAATCTACAGTCTTTAGTTTTATCAGCTCTAATCTTCCCGGCAAAAACCCTCCATACCACGAACGTTGT